TTTTCTTATTTCACCTATATATTTTATCTTATCTCTTCATTCTTTTAATTATTGGATATTCAAAAATATTTTTAAAATTATTAAATATTATCTAATATTAATTTTTAAAATTATTAAATATTTAAAAATGGATTAATATTTATTTTTATAAAATTTAATTTTAAAATCTCAACATATAAATATATTTTTAAAATCAATTTTATTATGGTGAAATCAAATTATCATATTCAACCCAACAATTTAAAATTTAAAAAATTTGAATTGACTCATCCAAACAAAATATTTTAAGAATGATAGAAATTGAAATCAAAGTAATTCAAATACCAAGAATTTAAAATTCCTTGAATTTGTAAAATTCCTCATCCAAACACACCATTAGGGTATCAGTAGAAGCAATTCATTTGAGTTGTTTTATGCATTGAAAAATAAAAAAAGTGGTAACCCCAAGTGTGTGGTTCAGCGGTAAGGGTTGATCCACGCTTAAGCAAGGTCAGAGGTTCGAATCCTGTCTTGTGTATGCAGTTGCGTTACCTTTGAGGTGTCTCCAACGTAGCGAGGAGATTAGTCACCGCTATATTCCAGGGACGAACCAAAAAAATAAAAATAAAAAAAGTGGTCTTTAGTGTACCATTTCAGTATTAAGCAACTCAAACATAAATTTACTCCAATTGAAAGAAATTTTAAAAAATTCAACTTTTATAATTTTTTTTAATCATTTATGAATTAATTTTAAATTTTTATTAAAAAATATAATTGCACTACAATGAAAAATAAATAAATTACGAGAAAAAATACACAATAAGTAGATATTAAAAATAAAATAAAGCAATAGTAAATACATAGATATCATACGAAATTAATTTTCATCATTATTATTTCCAAAACGTTTGTAAATATTATGCTTCCGCATTCCGCTCATTCTTTCTGATACCCAACAGTGTTACTTACCCAATTCATGATCTTTTCTCCTTAAGTTACATGTCTGAAAAAAAGAAGAAAAAAAGAAGAGTAAATAACCAGTTATAATGTTACCCTTTGAATAAAATATATGCTGAGATACTTTGTATCTAATTTTGTACACTAGTACACAAAATAATAGAAATATACAATGTGTCATTGTACTCATTAAATGAAAGAAAGAGATGTTTCGTGAATAGCATGTGTTAGCATTCATGTCTGTCAGTTTATAAGTGTAAGGAATATCGAAATTCACCCTATCTTGTGAGATTGAATAGGGGTTAAATGCTCTTCGGTTCTTGTTTCATGATCATACTCGTAGTGTATTCCACAAAAGAAGAATGGGGTCCCTGCCCCTAACCAAAACGCTTCTTTGTCTTTTAGGGCCTTTTGTTTCCAATGAAGGGGTTATTTTTCGTTGTAAATCATCTTTGGTTAATTCAGAGTGTCGAATGTTGAGAGACACAATAAGTAGCATTGGAACTACCACGTGTAATTGGTACAAATAAAATCGAACTCAATCTTTTTAAGGTCCCAAAAAAATTTCAGATTTGAATTTTGTGAACGAAAAATATATAGTTGAAAAAAAAATTACACCGATGACTAATCAAGTAATCAATTCTTCACAAAAACAAGGTTATCAAAAGAAAAAAAAGAATCTAACAAGTAGCGTTGAAGCAATAGAACCACTTTTGCTCTTAACTTGGAATCTGCATACGAAGCAAAGTGTTGTCACTTTCAAGGAAGACAAAGGAGGAGACAATGATTTGAACCTAAATCGCAACAATATTTTTCCTTGTCCTGAATGAGTGTACCCCCTTAGCTACAGTACCTAATTCCATGCCTATAAAAAGAGGGCAACTAGGCCATGTCTTGTGCAAGTGCAAAGTAACACATTCATTCCAAAGGCTCCTAGTCTTATAGAATTAAGTAATTAAAATGGCTATGTCACCAAACAAGAGCTTACTCCTTGTTGCTTTTCTCTTGCTTTGCTTTATCACAACCACAGCTAGAGGTAAGTTTAGTTTCATGTTTACATTATTAAAGATGTTACCATGTCAGGGTAAATATTGTGTACCTTATGTATTCAAAGTCCATCATTTATGTGATGTTTCTTTAATTTGGATTCTTGCAGCAAGAAATTTGAGAGAGATTAAAGATGAAGTTAAGAAGGGTCAAGCTAATTTGGATGCAATGTTTAAGCCAAACCATGAAGGGGCACAAGAGAGTAATGATGAGTTGGATACAATGGACTACACTCCTGCAAAAAGGAATCCACCAATCCATAATTAAGTTTCCAATTTTTTTTCTTCATTAGAAAAGGCACCAATTCACTGTGCTTAATTACCTCAAGTTCTATCTAGGGCCTTCAATGTATAGATATTATTTGGAATATGAAGCTAGCTAGGAAACCCACACTTAAATTATTATCATGCTTCCAATCTAGCTAGCTTCTGCCAAGTCATATATTCAGACTCACGTGTAAATAGTTTTTGAAGCTATAAGAATATGAGGGAGCATACTGAGAAGAGTTTTCAAAGTTTTAAGCAGAACCAAATACTTAAAACTATTGTTTTGTGGATGTGCTAATAAAAGGAAAAACGTATGCTTAATATTCACCCTACGGAAACCTTATATAAGTTTTGGCCGGAGTAATTGATGCAAATTATGCAATCACTTTATTGTTGGGATACATCTTAAGAGACTGGAGTTTATTCAATGTACGTAGTAGAGAAGATAATAACAAAGTTTGTGATATACCATGGACATATCCGTGATCAATGTAACTCCAAGCGTGTGGTTTAGTAGTAGGGGTTGATTCACACTTAAGCAAGATTAGGGGTTCGAATCCTGCCTTATGTATGTAGCCGCGTTAAATCTTGGAATCAGTTATTCCATCTTTTGAGGTGCCTCCAACGTAGCGAAAAGATTAGTCACCGCTATCGGCGGTGGATACTCCAGGGACGAACAAAAAAAAAATCCGTAATCAATGTAATTAAAGAACCTGTCATTGGAGAACAAATTAAATCAAAATAGGACTTGGAAGTTTGATTACCATATGTTTTGCAGTACTTTCAGCATCTGGGAGTATTTGAAATCAATTCACAAATTAGAAGCTGTGAAAATGCATGATGGTAAATGAAATAATGATTTATATATATAGATACAGCTGAGACTCCCTGATCAATCTTCAACCATCATGAATAACCAGTTGTGCAATTCAACCATGTTGGCGTGATATGATAGACAAATAATCTTATCTCTTAAACATTAGAATTTAATTTCGAGATATGTGTGTGGAAAATATCTGTTAAAAAGAAATAAGTTTCTTAAATAAATATCAATATCTCAAAAAAAAATTAGTCGTAGATATCACAGTTCAAAAATAAAAAATGAAAAATGGGCTACTCAGTAGGACATGTGGAGACAAGAAGTTGAATGTCAAAAAGTTCAATAACATATCTGAATAAGAGTAATACTTTACTCCATATGGCATTAACACAGGTTGATAAACGTTTACGTGCTACTATACCAGCATAAAAACTCTTCAATGAGTCGCTTATTCAAGATGTTGCAGAGGTGCAAAAGAACAACCATTCATTAAGAAATCATCTGCAGCGCAACTAACGATAATAATGGTACAATTGGTAAGAGTAAATAAGAATGGCCCTGTCTGCAGGACCCCATCATGCATCGTTTAATTAATACTTTTATATTTTAATTGTATTTAATTAGTATTTTAAAAATTTATATTAATATGATCAAGAAATAAGTACTATTTTTATTGGTAATAAGAATTGAATTTAAATCTTTACACATTTACTTTACCTTTAATTATTAGGTTCGAAAACAATAGTAATTTAGTTAAAAATAGGAAATTATTATTTTTTTACTAAAATATCTCAAAATATGGATGCCTAACTAGCTATATGAGTTGAAGATGATCACATCTTTTATAGAGAGGTGTGGCTGTGAGTTGACCATGAAATATATATATATATAAGGAGCGTATCAAGTAAGAGAAAATTTATTATTAGAGATGAGAGAGTTAAAATATAACTCTTAGATTAATTTTGCGAATCTCCAAATTTCAGCATATCAAGTCAGAGAAAATTAATTTAAGGGTTATATTTTAACTCTCTCATTTCTCATAATAAATTTCTTCTTACTTGATATACTCCCTATATATACTTAGTCAAATTCCCTTCTATTTGGCATGCATCACAACTCTTGACATGATTATGAACATTGAGAGCTAGGAACGAAAACTTTCCAATTCTAAGATAATAAATGGCATTTCTTTTTGGGCCAATGCATGGTTGATTTGATGTTCATCTAAAACTTTGGTAGCAGTTTTTCATGCCAATGACTTAGTTATTTGCTTCACACATTAATTTAAATGGTAATTCCCAATTTGGGGGCAACTATAATATATATATATATATATAT